TAACTAACTCATCACAGACTAATGATGTCAATATTTTCTCACTTTAAGCGAAGTGTACATATCTTACTTCAATTTAGGCCTCTTTACTCTTTTTGTTTTTGTTTTTGTTTTGTTTTTGCATTTCTTTTCCATTTATTTTATTGCATTTTAGGTTTTGGGGTACATGTGAAGAACATGCAAGATTGTTGCATAGGTACACACATGGCAATGTGATTTGCTGCCTTACTCCCCATCACCTACACCTGGCATCTCTCCCCTTCCTATCTCTCCCCAACTCCCCACACCCCACCGTCCCTCCCCTATTGCCCCCCAACAGACCCCAGTGTGTAATGCTCCACTCCCTGTGTCCATGTGTTCTCACTGTTCAACACCCGTCTATGAGTGAGAACATGCGGTGTTTGATCTTCTGCTCTTCTGTCAGTTTGCTGAGAATGATGGTTTCCAGGTTCATCCATGTCCCTATAAAGGACCCAAACTCATCGTTTTTGATGGCTGCATAATATTCCATGGTGTATATATGCCACATTTTCCCTGTCCAGTGTATCATCAATGGGCATTTGGGTTGTTTCCAGGTCTTTGCTATTGTAAACAGTGCTGCAATGAACATTCGTGTGCACGTGTCCTTATAGTAGGATGATTTATAATCCTTTGGATATATACCCAGTAATGGGATTGCTGGGTCAAATGGAATTTCTATGTCTAGGTCCTTGAGGAATTGCCACACTGTCTTCCACAATGGTTGAACTAATCTACACTCCCACCAACAGCGTAAAAGTGTTCTTATTTCTCCACATCCTCTCCAGCATCTGTTGTCTCCAGATTTTTTAATGATCACCATTCTAACTGGCGTGAGATGGTATCTCAATGTAGTTTTGATTTGCATTTCTCTGATGACCAGTGATGATGAGCATTTTTTCGTATGTTTGTTGGCCTCATGTATGTCTTCTTTTGTAAAGTGTCTGTTCATATCCTTTGCCCACTTTTGAATGGGCTTGTTTGTTTTATTTGCCTCACTTCTAAACTATATATGTACAGAAAAAACTTTTTGTTTTGAAATAATTATAAATACATGAGAAGTTATAACAACAACAGAATTGTTGTATATACACTTCACCCAGTTATACCTGATGATTATATTTTACGTAACTAAAATATACTATCAGAAGCCAGGAAATTGCAGTTGGTACAATGAGTGTATGTAGTTCTATGTCATCAGAAGCCAGGAAATTGACATTGTCACAAAGCATATATACAGTAGTATATACAGTTCTATGTTATTTTTATCACAGGTATATATTTCTATAACAACCACCACAATAAAAGTTATATATGTATATTTCTAAATGAAAATAATTCTGTATAATCTGCTTTATAACTATTTTCCATTTAACAATATACTGTATTGAGTACATTTTTCAATACAATTACTACCCGTCCTAAAATGGTAACATTTTTATGTCTGTCCTGTATTCCATTGTATAGGCATCTTTGTATGTTCATCTGGGATAATTTCTTTAAAATAGGTAAAATTAGGTGCTAAATGGCTATAGAATTTTTTTTTATTTTTCTTATTATTTTATTTCTTTTATTATTCTTTATGTTCTGGCATATATATGCAGAACATGCATATTTGTTACATAGGTAAATGTGTGCCAAGGTGGTTTGCTGCACCTGTCAACCTGTTACCTAGGTATTAAGCCTTGCCTGAATTAGCTATTTGTACATTAGCTCTTAGCTCTCTCTCTCCTTGCCCCACCAACAGACCCTCATGTGTGTTGTTCCTCTCCCTGTGTCCATGTGTTCTCAGTGTTCAGCTCCCACTTATGAGTGAAAACATGCAGTGATTGTTTTTCTGTTCCTGTGTTTGCTGAGAGTGATCGATTATTATTCACTATAGTCACCTTGTTGTGTTAGAAATAATTAATAAGACCCAGCATTTACTAACAATTATTTTGTACCCATTAATCATCATACTTCACTCGCTAACCACCCAAAACTCCTTCTGGCTTCTGGTAACCATCCTTCTACTTTTTGTCTCCATTAGTTCAACTGTTTTAATTTTTAACTTTCATAAGTAAATGAGCACATGTGAAGTGTGTCTTTCTGAACCTGTCTTATTTCACTTAACATGATGAACTACAGTTCCATCCACGTTGTTGCAAATGACTCAATTTCTTTTTTTTTATGGCTGCATACTACTCAATTGTGTATGTATACCAAATATTTCTTATTCATTCATCTATTGATGGACTCAGGGTGCTTCCAGATAAGGCTATTGAGTATGGTGTTGAAATAAACATTAGAAGGCAGAGCTCTTCAATATACCAATTTCCTTTCTTTAGAGTGTATACCGAGTAGTGTGAGTGTAAGAATCATCATATGACAGCTTTTTTTTTTTTTTTTGAGAAACCTCCAAACTGTTCTCCATTTGTACTATTTACATTCTTGCTGACAAGGTAGGAAAATTCCCTTTTCTCCACATCCTTGCCAGCATGTAGCACTGCCTGTCTTTTGAATAAAAGTCATTTTAACTGGGTTGAGGTAATATATAATTCTAGTTTTGATTTGCCTTTCTCTAATGGTGAATGATGTTGAGCATCTTTTCATATACATGCCTGCCATTTGTGTGTCTTCCTTTGAGAAATGCCTGTTCAGATATTTTGCCTATTTTTAAATCAGATTATTAGAACTTTTTCTGTAGAGTTATTTGAGCTCCTTTTATATTCTGGTCATTTATTTCTTGTTCAAATGTATAGTTTGCAAATATTTTCTCCAATTTTCTGGGATTCGTTACTGCTGCCTATTTAGTTCATTTGCTGAGGTCATGTTTTCCTGCATAGTCTTCACACTTGTGGATATTCATCAACGTCTGGGCATTGAAGAGTTAGGTTTTTATTGTGGACGTCATAGTCTGGGCTTCTTTGTATCAGTCTTTTATGGAAAGACTTTCCAAGTATACAAGGGAATTGAGTGCTGTGATCTAAATCTTTGGTCACTGCAGCCACATCTTCACCTAGGGGCACCCCAATCCCACTAATATCAGGTTTCTTGCAGACTTGTAGAGGTATTGCCTTGGTGGTCTTGAACAAGATCTGAAAAAATTGTCTAGATTACCAGGCAGAAATTTTGTTCTCTTCCCTTACTTTGTAAGGTACAATATGATGTCCCCTTTCCTCCCTTGGGAAACGGTGGTGCAAACGCTCCCTTAGTCATGTATGTCTCAGTATGTTATGTAACCTACAAGTCCACTGGCTTTGAGGCCATCTCAGCACTGCCTAGACTGCCCTTTAAGTTTATTTACAGGTGAGCCTGTGGTGGTGAGGCTTGCCGAACACAAGTTTCTACCACTGGGATGTGTGATTCCCCTGTAGATAGGATTGCTCAATATGCCTCCTTCATGGAGGGCTGTCATCTGAGTTCAGTCTGGCTTTCCTTTCCACTGTGACAGGGCAGCATTGAGTTCAATGCAATGTCTCATAATTGCTGTGCTCTCCCTCTCCCAAGTGCACAGATTCTCACCATGCCAAATAGTTGCTACTAAGGGTTGGGAGAGGAGTGGCATTGGCATTTCTAAGACTATCTTTTCTACCCTCTTCAGTGGCTATTTAGTTATATGAAATTAAAACTAGGTACTGTGAGTGTTCACCTGATTTTTGGTTCTTATGAAGGTACTTTTTCTGTGTAGGTAGTTGGAAAATTTGATATTTCTTTGGAAGTGTGAGGGATAATTGGTAGAGGTTTCTATCCAGCCATCTTGGTCTACTCTCCAAGACAATTTTTAATAGAATGTTGAAGCTCTTTTATGAGAGCTACTTTAAATCTTTGTCACATAAATTAATATTTGATTCATTTCAGTTTTGTTTTTCTTGCTGATTTGATTTCTGGAGCTGCTGGGTATACTGTTCTGTCCTTGCTGATGCCACATAAAGGGTATAAGGTACTTTCTTGGACCTCCTGCTCTTGTTGGCTGACCTTTTGAAAGTTGGAGAGAAGTCTTGGGGCCTTAGAGTAACAGGGGTTCTCTGATATTGTCATTGTGAGTAGGTGGGACTGCCCATGAAGTCCCATTTGTATTGCAGGAGCTTCAATGGACCAGTGCTTCACTGACACTACTGGCAGTGAATAAGTTCACCTAAAGGGACCCCAGGTATAAAGCAGAGTTTGGGATTCTCCACTATATCTCTGTTGGCCTTCTTCTTTCCTAATCTTTTGACCAGGGAGAGCAGACTTTTCTAGACTTTTTGTTTGTTTCCTGTATGCCTGTAAATGGTTCCAGGTCACAGTCCTTTTTGCTGCCCAGTCCAAGGGTTATAAGATATAAAAAGGAAACCTAGGAGGAACTCATCACATTGGCATTACTCAGCTTTTTATCCAGCATGCTTTTAGAATTCTTGTATCATGGTCTGTTGAATAATTTCCATAGCTTTAGTGATATTAAGTGTAGAAAACAGAAAATAGTGAGTCTATACCTTCCAGTTGCTGAACCGGATGCCCCCAAAACTTATTTTAATGCCTTTTAACATCTTTTCTTTGCCTCCTTTTTCTTTCTATGTTTTTTTGTCAGCACTTAATATTTTTCTGGGTATTTAACTGGCAGAAGTGAAAACTTTTATTTTTTCCCACGATTTTGTTATTTTCGATTTGCTGGTATTCTCTTTAGTCATAGGGTCATTTTCTTGATAACATGTGTTCTAGGACCTTGAAGTTCTTCCAAAAGACACAGTGGTCTATTTGTGGTTCACAGTGTCAAGGGGCCAGAAACTGAAATCTTTGTTTCAAAACCTCTATAGCTCAATGGTTCTAATCTCAAAAATACATTGCTGTATTGAAAATCACTTTGATTGATTCTATATTTTAATTGCTAATAGATGGACCTTTCTGGCCCACAATTTCCAGTTGAAAAAGTACTCTGCTATTTTATATGCTTATAGGTTAATTTTTTCCTAAATAAAACATCTTTCATTTTATGTTTTTCTCCTACTCCCCACCCCCCACTACAGATTATTTATGTGGCTCGTAATGCCAAGGACGTTTCAGTCTCATATTACCATTTCGACTTAATGAACAATTTACAACCTTTTCCTGGTACCTGGGAAGAATATCTGGAGAAATTCATAACTGGAAAGGGTACATAGACTTTATCTTAAAATTAAGAAGTAATTTTTTAATTTTAATAATCCTATTAACAATAACTTTTATGACTTTCAAAATACTTATTTTTCCAACTCAGCAAAAAGTATGTTCAAATATTATCTAAAACATTAAATCTAATGCATCTAATATTTTACTATGACATTCAATTTATAAAACTAGTATTAATCATTGGCATACAAAAATATTCTACAATCTGTTCTCGGTTGCTAGATATCCATTCTCAGTCCCTGATCACAATAGACATTGTTTAACTTGCTTAAGTAATTAGATATGTTAATGTATATGTTATATTTGTAGTTCTTAGATAAACAGTTGATATGAGTACTTTGTAAGATAATAGTTTTCTTCTTTGTGAAGCTAAGTATAACTTTTTGCAGGTCAGTATATTTTTGTCTGAAATGTTTTCTTCATACTTGATATTATAAAATATCTGATGCTTATATATCCATAAATAGCTAATTTTACTTTTTAAAATTGGCCTCATATTTTCAGTTTCTTTGATTGCTAAATTCCACAAACATTTTCACAATTTGACTTAACGTTCAGAAAGAAATATTTAATTTGATGAATGTTTGTGAAAATAGACTTTTATCTTGTTTTAGTGAGCTACGGTTCCTGGTTTGCTCATGTTAAAAACTGGTGGAAGATAAAGGAAGAACACCCAATACTTTTCTTGTACTATGAAGATATGAAAGAGGTAAAATGGTAGATATGGATTCTGGATAATGTCCCTACCACCTCATGCTATAGAAGGATTGATATTTGCTTTTCAACTTAGTCAATGGAGTCCAAAATGATGATTGCTTTGCCTATCCACCATGCGTTTTTAACCCACATCTTGCTATGATAATTAATGACTTTCTAAATGTGAAATTAATGGTTTATTTTTATTCCTCTTGTCTCTTAGCCACTGTGTTATGTTACACCACTCTTTCCTATGCAATTATTTCCTACATTCACCAGGATATCACATGCTTATTGTTATCCTCTAGATATCTCACTAATTTAAAAAATCTATTCATTAATATTTTAAAATTGTTATTTATAAATTGTTTGCTATATTTGGGCTATCCCTTCCACACTTACTGTTTCACAACTATTATGTGCTAATTTTCTTTTATCTGTGCCTCCATTTTTACTTCTACCTCGATTTTCTAGCTCATACTTGTATTAAATTTAGCATGCTCAACACTAATTTTATTTCTCTCCAACATGTAATCTTTTTATTATTTTATTCTCTCTCAACAATAAAAGTTGTTCTTACTGTCTCTGTTTCCTATATTTTACACATCTAATTGGTTCGGATAGTCTATCTATTGTGTCTTTCAAACTATTCCCTCCTTTCCTTCTTGACTACCTCACTCTTAGTGCAGAAACTTGTAATCATCTATTTAGTATAATGCCGTATTAATAAAATACAACTACAAAGTTTCATGCCACCATTATGGAACTCTTCTACTTACATTGGCCAAATTCACACAGATACACACACACACACACACACACACATACACACACACACCAGGAAAACATGTGGAAACTAGTTCCTTTACTTGTAAAAGCCTAAACGTACAATTTAGAATGCTTTCAGATCTGTAATAAAAATTACCGAATTTGTCTTCTTTGAAACTACATCCCAGCACTTAATACTGTGCATACCACATAAACAGGGGCTTGAGGTTACTTGCATGGATCATCAATTGCTTCAATGAATAAATGGGTGAGTGGTAATATCCAAAACTTTAATGACATTAATCCTACATTAATCTGCACAAAACAGAAACTTGGCCCCACGTGAAATATTTCTTGCTCAAGCTAATTTTGAGAAACTCCCAGGGTGTTTCTTGTATCTTATCACAAAGAATCCTCTGAGTTTTAATTCACTGCCCCAGTTTCATTCTCCATCACAGTTGTCCACATCCCATAAAGAATCTGTGATCTATGTCTTATGATTGTCCCTGTATACAGGGTTTGAGATTATTCATGTTAATTTGCTCATACCACACAGCTGCAAAACCTAGCATGGTCTATGAAACACAGTAAAAAGTAATATGTCTCGAGAGCTTGTTTAGCCAGAGATAAGTTATAAATTCTTAATAAGAGAGAAAATTGTTCCTGCTCTCTAACAAATACCTCTCTTCATGTTTTTGGACGGCAGAGCAGCACTTAAAAGCTTTAAGAAAAGAACAATTTTAGCATCTGATAAAGTCCCTTTTCTCCATAAGACTAAGAATACATTTCCTCTGCTTGGCTGCTATTCAAATTCCGAAACAACCATTATACTCTTTCCCATATAACATTTGAGACTATTATTGTTCTTATTTAGCTAAGATGCTTTCAAATAAACTTACTCATTTTGATTTATAGCCTAACCCAGTTACCTTTTTAAGCATACCCATATATTTTCAATTTCCTTCAAACGTGTAATGTACATCACACTTAGCAGGCAATATTTTTTTTTCTGTCATATAATCATTTGTAGATAATGTTATAGATAAGTTTAATGCAACAACAATAAAGGAAGAAAATTATGGAATATACATCAATAATAAAATTTGAAAAAAAGTTCAGTAATTTACATATTTATGAACATCTACATACCTTCTCCATAAGTGAGGCAAAAGAATAATACATCAGGGGAAGATTCAGCCAGAGCCAGGACTCTGCTTTAATTTTACTGCTGTATAGACTAACACAGTGGTTCCCAGCTTTTTTAGCACCAGGGACTGGTTTTGTGGAAGACAATTTTTCCATGAACAGGATGCAAGGGGGCTGTAGATGCGTGGTTTTGGGATTAAACTGTCCCACTTCAGATCATCAGGCATTAGTTAGAGTCTCATAAGGAGTATGCAACCTAGATCCCTCACATATTCAGTTCACAATGGGTTCAGGCTCCTTTGAGAATCTAATGCCACCACTGATGTAACAGGAGGCAGAGCTTAGGCAGTAGTGCTTGCTCCTCCATCACTCACATCCTCCTGTGTGGCCCAGTTCCTAACAGGCCACTGACTGGCACTAGTCTGTGGCCAGTGGGTTGTGGACTCCTTGACTAATATCATCATTAATACTTTAGCATTAGCCAAATTATTTTCCAAATATTTTTGATCCCCAAAGAAAAAATGCCCTCTATTTTCCTGTCCATCTATGTGTTTTTATAATACAACTACATCTTTTCTTTTGGGCTTATCTCTACTATCATCATCGTGTCTGCCCTTTTACTCATTCTAACCACGGACACACCCTAAGTTGTTATCTCATTCTTCTATCAGAGAGGACTGACACAGAAAATATAACAGATATTCTTGATTTTTAATATTTTATAATTAATTTAAAAATTGAGAAAAATAAACCCAAATAAATATGGATTTCCTATACTGTTTGGAGTCAACATTTATAAAAACAGATCATAAATGTTTTTACTTTTATAAATATTTACATTGTGCTAATTTCTTGTTTATTGCCTTGGGCATGACTTTTTACCCACTGATAGAATCCAAAGGAGGAAATTAAGAAGATAATGAGATTTCTAGAGAAGAACCTGAATGATGAGATCTTGGATAGGATAATCCATCACACCTCATTTGAAGTGATGAAGGACAATCCTTTGGTGAATTATACACATCTACCAACTATGGTGATGGATCATAGCAAATCCCCTTTTATGCGTAAAGGTAAATACTTTCCTGGGTTTAATTTCCCTTTTTTACTTTCTTATGAATTATCATGAGCTAAGGATTAGTTCTGTGATCTCTACTAAGTTACTTACCCTATTTAAACTTTACACTAAATACCTACCACCAAAAGTTGCTGAGATTCAAAATTATCAAATGAAACAATGCATGTAAAGCTATTACTAGAATACCTTGAATATTTGATAAATATTTATTTTCCTATTTTTTACTGTGCTAAATGAGAGTGGTTTTGGCAATTTTGATGTGAGCAATTCCAAATTTGCCATTCTTACTCCCTCAAATCTTTGTCTAAATTGGCATAAACTTCCTTTCCCTCCTCAGTGAAATATTAATTTAATTTAGTACAGTATCATAGTCTTTAAAGTACCCATATCACATAGAAAACCATGGGAATTGCATTAAAAATAATTCACCAAATGGAGAAACTCTATTTTAATCTTAAGATTTTTTTCTCCCTGTACAAATACTGTCTAAACTATAGGTAACACGGAGTCCAAATTTCACTTAGAAGAATATGGCATTTGCTGTTGAAATACATTATTTTTATTTAAGCAGTCTATTTATCATGGCTTATTACACATAATATATTTCAAAATGTGTCAAGGATAACAATACATTTTACAAATTATTAACTTAAATAAATTTAAGAATGTATCCACCTAATAATGCCACCTTTTGTTTTCAATATCAATTGAATTGGAAGGAGAGGAATAGAATTTCAATTTATATACTAGGACGTAAGCATAACATTAGAAATGTATTGTGCATATGAACATACAAAGAAAACCACTGATTTTCAGTAATATGATTAAATTTTTTAAAAATTTGTTTATTAACTTATTAAAATAGCAGATAGCCCTAGTGTTTTCAAATTGTGCTCTTTCTTTTCCCAAAACACTACATTTAGCCTATTAAAAATAACTTCTAGAGTAAGAAAGCAGGTACATTTTTCTTCATAAATTGTATGCATTATATGTTTGAGCAAGGAAGACTGAAGACTGATGTGTGTGTGTGTATGTGTGTGTGTGTGTGTGTGTGTATATATAATCTGTATGCTCATACACAGATGTAAATGTATTTGTATGTACAGTCATCCCTTGTTATACGTGGGGTATTGGTTCCAGGAACTCTGCTTCTGAATATACCAGAAGCTGCCTATATGAAAAGTTGGGATTCCAAACATGTTGGTAGGTTTCTTATCATGCAAATATTGTATTTTTTAGTACTTTTAGTTGAAATATGTCTGTGTATAAGTGAACCTGGCCAGTGCAAATCTGTGTTGTTCGAGGGTCAATTGCATTCATATACATACATATTCTTTTTCCTGATAGAAGAATTAGAAAATAAATCTTTATTAAACATGGCTAATTCTCACTGTTCTAGATACCTGGATGTAATTTCCCAGAAATTTTATCTCAAATTGTATGAAAATTGATGACATCTAATTATGGTGTAGACATACAGAAGATGAGCTCAGTATCTGGATTCTATGGCTTCTCCAACTTCAACAGAAAAAAGCACATGCTATTCTAATATTGAAGGCAGTATTTATATCCCCTCTACAGGTGGTTAAGACCATACTTTTGTGGTCAGATTGATCTGAGGTTTATGCAGGCTACGCCATTCCCTGAACCTATGACCTGGAATACATTAATTAACCAGAGCCAAAGCTCTGATTACATCACTGGCAAAATAGAGAATATAATAACATCTATGGCACAAGATTCTGTGGAGTATTATGGCAAATAATATGTAAGCATTAAGGATATTTTTCTGACAATAAATAATGCATACAAAAGTAAAAAGTATTATTAGTCTAAATAGTTCAAGATTCCTTCCTTCCTTCCTTCCTTCCTTCCTTCCTTCCTTCCTTCCTTCCTTCCTTTTCCTTCCTTCCTTCCTTCCTTTTCCTTCCTTCCTTCCTTCCTTCCTTCCTTCCTTCCTTCCTTCCTTCCTTCCTTCCTTCCTGCTTTCCTTCCTGCCTTTCTTTACTGATGTATCCAGTAAACATTTAGAGTACTCATTCATTCATTAATATACATATTAAAAAACTACAGCTGGGTGCGGTGGCTCATTCCTGTAATCCCAACACTTCAGGAAGCTGAGTCAGGTGAATCACGAGGTCAGGAGTTCAAAACCAGCCTGTCCAATATAGTGAACCCCCGCCTCTACTAAACATACAAAAATTAGCTGGGCATTGTGGTGCACGCCTGTAGTCCCAGCTACTCAGGAGGCTGAGGTAGAAGAATCACTTGAACTTGGGAGGTGGAGGTTGCAGTGACCTGAGATTGCACCACTGTACTCCAGCCTAAGCAACAGAACAANAAAGAAAAAAAAAAGAAAGGAAGACAATATTTCATTAATACCTATACCCAGTACACTTTCTTTAAAAGATTCAAAGGTAAATGAAACATATATTTGCCTCAAGAAGCTTACAATGTAGTAGAAGGTCATATACCTAAAGGAATGCCAAAAGAAGTGACGTATGAACACATACGCCAGGCACACTGAGTCTTGAAAGATACCATGTTAGATAAATCAATGTATTAGTCATACAATACTAGCATTATGAGGGTGGGATAGATAATGTCCAACGTTTATTCATATGTCTTAAATTACAACAAACAGAAAAACCTGGACTTTGGCCAGCGTTTATCAAAACTTTTCTTGTGAAGCAAATGTGTTTGTGTACATTATAAAATTTAAGTGCAGATCAGATCACTGGAATGTTTTCTATATAGCTTTTAATTCTTAAACTTGCACTCTCCTCTGTTTTTAATGACAACGTTATGGATGCATTAGCCCCAGTATGTTGATGTCGAACCGTTATATACATTCCAGAGCTACTGACATCTGGAGAACATAGAACAAAGTGTAATAACTAGGGAAACAACCGTATCTATAGGAATGTTTTTCTTTTAAAGACTTGAAAGCCTTATCAAACCGTTGTGGATTAATGTAGCTTGTAATTTAATATGATGTATTACTATTTCATAAAATAGTAAGATGTTTTTCTCTAAAAATATTAGCAGCACATTAAAAGTTGTTCAGTTCTCAAATACTTATTTATAAATACACAAGTATGAGAGATTAAATTTAAATTTATATCCTCAAAGTTTCAGTTTTAAAAGCATAGTTCAAGGATGTTATTTATTTGACATTAATGTTATTATTTCCACCTAAATTGCAAATAAAGAACAAGTCTAATGAATTTAGGGAAAGCAAGTATCATCTTTATCATAGCATTCTTATTTATAAATTCTAGGAAATGATATTTATCAACTTTTTATTTTACAGTTTGGTTGTTCTGATGACCAATTTTTTGTATGGTTTCCAAAAGTTACTTTATAAAATAAAATATGCTCTGACTATTGATCCAAGTACTCAGTGACAATCTCATGAACCAGGACCATTAGAAACAGTAAAATTATCATTCTTGGGAAACTATTGTGAAGCCCAGGAAGTTAAACAAGAAAATTCGTCTTTCTCAGAATGCCTCTTCAAATGTCAGACTCTATTTAGTCATAAACCTCCTTTCCAGATGGAAACATTTATTCAATTTTTAAAAGACTTAAAAATTTAAAGGTTAAAATAATTTAAAGTTTGTTTTAATTCATTCAAATAAAAGGAAAGTCTTTCTTGAGGCCTTCTAAACTTTTCCTTTGGTATATACTGCTTTTTCTTCCCATGGAAATATTTTATTCTTTCCTATGTTTTCTTATTTATCTTTAGGGATCACTGGTGACTGGAAGAATTACTTCACAGTGGCCCAGAATGAGAAATTTGATGCCATTTATAAGACAGAAATGTCTGAAACTGCACTTCAATTCCGCACAGAGATTTCAAGTGCCTAAATCATAAATCTGAAGAAAGAAGAGATTGTCTATAGTTGATTGAAATGAGGGCAGTTAATAACTGATATGGGCAATCAAATGAATTTATAAAGGAGAATAATATGCTTTTAAAAAATTGATATTTTGCAGTGTTATTAATCACATCCCAATTTTGTCCCTTTGATTCTGAGGTTCCAAATTCTCTAAGGCTAAAGTTGATTATTATCTTTTTGTAACAAAGGAGAAATGTAACAAGCTCTTCCTGTCTTTTCCTACATTAGAACTGATAAGGAAGAAGGGATTTATTTTACTTAATCTCTCATACGTTAGGATTTAGAATTAAGTTCTCCTCCCTAGTACCATGATCCAAGAAATGCTGTTTTCATAATGACACTATATTTTCTAACCCTGCCCCAATTTCCCTTTGATGAAAATTTGACCCAGGACACTGTGTTCCACTGCTGTCTACTGAGTTTCAAGTTGTTCTCTGAGTCATAGTTCATCTTGCAGTGCCTGTATTTGGATCATGTCCCAGAACATGTAGTTCAGATTTTGGAAGTATTTTTTCTATATCATACCCAATGTCAAAGTCTCCCCAGGGCAAACACCTACAATAGTCTCTGTAGAGTTCTTCCCTGGGAACTGCAGCTCTGTTCTGAGAGCTGGTCCTGAGGGCTGTGACCTGCTTCCTATAGGGATTCCTCATTTTCCCAGACCCGTTTGATCTTCAGAGAATCACCTACTGCTTTGTTCTGGTCACAATTTGAGAACTTTAGTTACTTAATCTTATCTTTAAATATATTTGGGTACTTTAATAGCACCTTCAATACCCTAGACATGATCATAGCCTTTGCTGAAAATTTCCCAATCTGGTGCCCAGTGAAGACTCTCTTGGCTGAGTCTCCACTCTGCTCTCCTGATCCAATGTTCCTTATTATTACATGTTTATATCTATTTGTTTGATGTATGTTTTCTTGGAACATTTATTTATCAACCCCAGTTTTCCATTAGAAGTTGTTGTTTATATCTTCATGTGCAGCAAAGTCTTTTTCCTGAGGTCAGATCACCTGTGCCAAGAAATATGGCAAGTCATGGTTCTCAAACTGAAGCTAGAATACCCTGGGCCCTTACTTGTTCTGAAAGGGGTGGGGGTGGTGGTTTCTGACACATTGTTAGGCTTTCTGAGCCACAACTGAGGTAGCTATGGTTTATGATATTTTAACTTCACAGGTGAATCTCTGCTGTCAGCCAGGAATATCTAAAATAGCTCCTTAAGCTGTAACTTTTCTCTTTTCTAACCCCTGTAAAGGATTAGTCTAATGTTAACTATAAACCCCCTAGAAGTAGTACACCTATTATTCTGCAGAAAGTTGCTTCTATAGATTTATTATAATATGGTTATAAAGTATTTTAGAGTATGTAATTTGTGTTTATGTTCCACAGAAACATATTTCATAGGAGTTAGTATTGAATATCTGGAGGTATTATGAACTAGTTTCAGCTTTATCCAATACTCTTGTCCACAAGAAGTAAACTAAAATAAATCATGTAACTATTTGCTCTATTATATTTGTTAATTAATAAATTAATGTGGCCTGAATATATATGGATTTTTGATACTATGGTCTATTATTGGGGGCAAACACCTCTAAACTATCCTCTAATCTGTGTAATAGATTAGCTACACTAACTTTCTTCAGTAGCGAAATAATTTCCCCTTTTCTAGTTTTACTTTGTAGAAATAAGTCTCTGTAATTGGACTGTATTCAACAAAAACTTAGTAAATTTTAATTATGCCTCAGGCATGTTTCTATGCACTGAGTGAAGAGTGGAGATAAAAAATGTAATTTAGATTTTCCTTTACATTTTTTATAGGTTGCTGCCTCCTTTATATTTATTCTCTAATGCAAATGTTCCTATCTTAATTCATCAGTTTATGTTTAACATCACACAGTGGCACTTCTACTATGATTTAAATACATTTGATGTCCTTTGAAATCGTTCAGAATGTTGCCAAATTAATTTTTCTAAAACAATGCTTTTATCATTATTTCTCCTATTCAATCATCAGTGCAATTTTCAAATGAAAACACTTAAAATAATCTCATGTTAATGTCTTTCTCTAACAGAACCATGATGTAAGGACAGTGTTAAGAAATAGCTGACAATGATATGATTATTTCCTCATCCATGGAAATTCTCCCTAATCAGCTAAAGGGCTATTTTCTAAAAAGTCAAAGCATTGCTTACAAGAACTTTTTATCATGACACGGATAGACATTCAGATTTAGACATTCAAAGGGAAGTGTCGTGTATTCCCTTTTACGCCACCCTATTCTAATGTGTTATCTTCCTAACTCATTTTCTATCCACATTCTTCACTCTCTTTCCCATTGACCCTATGTTTTGTTTGATAGAAATTGCATCATTAGAAGCTTTTGAGGGTTGAGTATTATGCCCCATTTCAGCATTAATCAACATATAACTCTTCTCCATATTTGATAATCCCTTTCATACGCAGAAAAAGATAGTATAATTTATTCAAAATGCTTGATATTAATGATATATGGGAAAACAATTATTTTGTGCAGTGATCTTCAGGTAACTGGGAAAGGTCAGAGGAAAAAGAGAGATACTGATGATTATCAATGGACCCACATATAAATTGTTTTTATTCTGTAAGCTATCTTCACAAATGTCTTATTATGTATGACCATGAGAACTGTTATATATATATATGTATGTATGTATAAGGGTATAGATAAATATATATAACATTAATGAGACATTATTTCCACATTATTGAGGCATTACTTTCAGCTGCTGTTTAATGAATACAATACAATATAATTTATTGTATTTGACATTATGACATTTAACTGGCTTATATTTTGAAATCTATGTCTGATTTTTATGGCTGTTTTAATTTTTCACCCTCAAAATATAGATGAGTATCTTTGTAGTAGGTAAATCATGAAAATTGACAGCTTCTTCTCTAGTTAATAACTCTGCATATTGTCGTTTGTGCATGGAACAGAGGCTAAATCAGGAGGGGATTTGAGGCAACATTGAAGCCCAAGGAATATAGAACAAAAGATAAAAGCACAAAATTTCTAATTATAAAGGCTTTTTACAATCAGGTCTTCGCCACTTTCTAACCATGGAAACTTGAGCAAGTAACAACTTTTCCGTACTCAATTCTTTATCTGTACAATGTAGACAATGAGTATTTCTTGCAAAGATGAAATAAAATATAAAAGAATTAGAACAGTGCCTAGCATACTTTAATGTGCTCATTTAATCTTAGCGGCTGCGAAGGTAATCATTGTTAGAATCTTGAAATTTTATTTAACTAAATGGGATTGAGGCATCAGATTTCTTGACGCACACTGCTAACTGGCTTCAAAATGTACAGCTATTTTGCAGATTACTTGGAGGCAAGAGGTTTCTGGCTTCACTACTGTTACCATTGTTCTTCTGTTGTTTGCTACCAAGTTAAATTTTTCACATGTCAAGTACTCCTGCTTAAGGCATTACTGTCAAGTACTAAATATTTTCAATGTATGTCAATGATCATTATTCAGTAGAAAAGCACAGCAAGGCTGTAAAATTTGAAATAATTTTATTTCAAATGACATATAGGCTGTAATAATCCAGCCATTGAAAAAATATAAAGATAATTTAGATACAGACACATAGGTGAACTGAAATTTCTCAGTGGGAATTTGATTACATGGGGAAGACTGTTTTTATAATTTTAAATTTTAATTTATGTATTTTTGTAGAGCACGTTCTTGCCATGTCACCCAGAATGCTATCAAACTCCTGGCCTGAAGTGATGCTCAGTCTTGGCCTCCCAAAGCATTGGGATTATAGGCAAGAGCCACTGTGCCCAGTCATGAAATCTACATTGTCAAACTTAGCATTTGGGTATCATGTAAATTCACATATATAGTCTATCCATAATGCTTTGTAATCATTTTGGTAGCAATTGGGAAATGCCATGCCTCAGCATTTTTTAGAACATGCCAGTGAACACATAGACAATGATTTTTAAATGTGCTTGAAAATCTTAAATGCAAATTTTATCAATCCTATTATAATCATAATTTTATTGGGCAGGAATTGGGAAATGGCAAAACACAAATGGGCTCTCTCTCTTACTTTGTCATCTTACCTAAGAGAGATGGTTGTACCTGGTATTGATCACAGCCTTTATAATTATAGAATATGGTAATCGAATTGCATACATTCAATTGTGTAATTTAATTCAACATTAATATGATATGTAGAATGATATATATTTTATATTTTATTGACATTTTTATTGATAATTTATTAGATATCAGATAATCTTATAGAAGTATCAATGTATTCCATTTTAAAGCAAGCAAACTGAGACTTAGAACTGGGATTCAAATATAAGTCTGTTTGTCTTCAAAATGTCGTTCTTCAACATTGCATGATACTTTGTAGAATTATATATAAATAATCACCTTCAGATATCAGAGTACCTCTCAAACATATCATAGAAATAATTAAGTAATGGTGCCTAAGCTGACAATGTTAACTTTACAAGTTCTGTTTACTCTCAGAGACCTCCTATTGCAAGGATACTGCCTGAGAACTTGTGAATAAATAGATTTATGAGCACTTTTTCTCTATAAACTATGTCATAATTAGTGCTTGTTTATACTCTTAAATAATGATGGTAATACCATAGTTCAAAGTCATTTAACTTGAGTTTCAAGTGTTGATTTTAAAACTTACTCATTAGAAAGGAATGTCTCTGGTAAAACACATAGAATCTCAACAAATGACTAATAAGATAATGCAGCCTATTCGCAAGATGGGCACTAACTGTACTCTGTCCTGTTCTATTCTATTGAGAGGAAGAGAACAAGATATCATAAGTCTTACGAAAAGGCTTCTCCTGCAACTTTGAATATGGGAAAAAAGGAGAGAGTACAAAATATTTTTTCACAAACTGCATCCTTTATATCCCCTCCCTCTCTTCCTCTAGGACTATTGGCAAGAGTATCAAAATTGGTGTGCATATTAGAAGTATTTATAAAAGAAAGATTCTTGTATCTCTCTTTAGAGATTTTGATTAAGAAAGCCTGGAGTGGGACACCAATATACACATTTTATATAAACACCAGAGGTGACTCAATAACTGTATTATATATTGCAATGTCCACGTGATGAACTACTCACTTTTCAAGTGATAGAGATGGATGGATAGATAGATAGATAGATAGATATAGATAGATAGACAGACAGACAGAGCTATAACAGGTACAGAAGAACTCCTTTGTACTAATGGAATTCATATTTATGAATTGCACACAAAAAAATAAAAACATAAAACTTAAAGCCAATGGCTAAACATAATTTGAAAGAAAAGAGGAAGTTAAGTGGATCACATAGCTTAAAACTGCCCTTTAGCCAAATATACCGTGTATTTTAAAATAAAATAAATGGGCAACTTTCCCAGGACAGTTTGCTTAGTGTGTAAACTATTGATTCACTTAAACAATGAGTATAAATTGGGTTTCATTGCGAATATATTTTTTATTCCCTGGGTAATTATTTCTTCCATTGTTTGAAAGCTAAGTTTCTGAATAGATTAGCATGTGGTAAAACTATACTCTCTCATTGTTTTGCCTGAGTTGTTCTTATTGTCATATTTTGGGTCTTGGGCTTGAACCACACTGGGCCTCAGCAACAAAGCCAAAATGCAAGAAAAGTAAACAAGTAAAAGATAGCAATATGTAATAAAAATAAATAGATATAAAGGCTGTTCAAAGCAGTCTAGTGGTCAAGTGGTCAAGGCATATTTTAGGGGTACCAAAGTTTCATCTCAATATCTGAATTTTTTATGGTCATTGAAGTTTTACCTTTTTTTTTTTTTCAAGTGTAGCATGCAGACAGAAAACTTGAAAAATCATAAGTATACAGAGAAACCTTCCAAATAAACACACCAGGGCAACCAGATTTCATATCTCTGGATAATTTGTTTATTGTTTAAGAAACAGAACATTACCAGCATACCAGAGCCTTACCCTTCCAGTCAATTTACCTCACAATGAAAACCACAAGTCTGATTTCCAACACCATGTACTAGTTTTGCCTTTTTTTTTGAAAGTTATCTTAATGGAATGCTACAGATGGACTCTTTTGACTTTCTGACTTTTTTCTCTCAACATTGTATTTGACTGATTTATCCATATTTTTGCATGTAGTTGTAGTTTTAATTTTAATTTTTATATAGCATTCCATTGTGAGAATATGCCAATATTTACTTGCTTTTGATGAGCATTTCAAAAATTTTCAGTTTGGTTTATTACAAATAGTACTACAGTGAACATATTATTTACATTTTTGGTAAATATATTTTAGGTGCATTTTCCTTGAGTGTAGCCTAGGTATTGATTTCTAAATATGTGATGTGCATATAAGTTTAAGATATACCACCATATACTTTTCCAAAGTGGTTATATTAACTTACAATTACACTAGCTGTACAAAAGCATTCCAGACCCAGATTTTATACTCATCAAGTATTATTTTATGTAATTTTCATTTTAGCCATGTTGGTAAA